CCCTCGGCCTGGGTGGAGGAGAGGAGCCGCGGTGTCACCCATGGCCGGGCTCCCCGCCACCGGCCACCCCGGGGGATTTTTAGGGTGAAACCACAGTTAGACAAGAATTAAACCATCAAGGTGACAAAAGGACCCGCTCCCCATCATCTACCGGTGAGGCAACAACGCCGGCCCCATCCCGGTGAGCTCCCGCCTGAGCCGGCGTCACCGTCACCAAAGCGGCGTGGGGACGTCACCGGGTGGCTGGGACAGCGCGGGGTTCGCCGTGACGCACCGGGGTGCGGCAGAAGGTCATGCAGCCCTTCTGCAAAGCAGCAGCTGGCAGGAGGGTGGTGTTAATTGCGCTAACGAGGAGGAGAGGGGCTGGCTTCTACACTATATGGCAGGGGCAGGGGACTCGGATGCTTACACTCCGCTTTCTTTAAAGGTGCTTGGTATAACTTTAGATATATAATATACATGTAATATTGCTAATAGTCAAGCATAAGAATAAAGGTGCAGACATACCATAAATACTGATGCTTTGATTTTACACTACCAGACCTAGATGAATGCAGTTTCCTATTCACATTTAAAAGCAGCCCCAAATTCTACCATTTAAAATAGTGTCGTAAACAAAGAGGAGGAAGGAGTCGGTTATGATCTGATCTTCTTCATTTGTTTTTCCTTGGAAAAAAAATGATCAAAAAATTCTAAGGCACTCAGGAAAGCCGCATACAATCGATGGACTGCTCTGTTCCCACCTTACATTCAGTATTTTCAAGGGGTTATTTTTTTTGTTTGTTTTTTTGTTGTTTTTTTTTCGGAAGAATACAATCATTACCATATAACATTTTCAAACATATCATTAATCCTCCACACACAGGAAACATTAGTGCAAAATGCTTGCCCTCATCTACCAGATAAGGAAAAAAAACAAAAACCCAACGCCCTTCACATTTTAGAAGTTTGCCTTCCTAATAATAATAATTAATAAAATAAACAAATGCAAATTTAAAGAAAAAAAAGAAAGGAAAAAAAAAAGAAAGAATAAACCCCAAAAATATACAGGAAGTTGTGCTAGGTATAAAAATATATATTTTCACTGTGCAACTTGACTCTCTTCAGACTCTCTGTCCTAAGCCATTCAAGTACTTCTGCTGCTGCTGCCGCCCAGG